GGGGGGGGGGGATTAGATTGACAAATCTTCCCATTCTTCTCTCTGTCGAGGAGAGAGGGTAATCCTAGACAACAACAACATTTCAAAACAGGTTCTTCGAAATTATTAAAAATTCTCAAAAACTCTTCAAAATTCTTCAAAATGCTTCCAAATTCTTTGAAATTTAAAAATTGTAAAATGGTAGTGTTTGGACAGAATTAATAAGGTGATCTTTTTTTTGAGCCAAAGAACAAAATTAATTTGTGGTGCAAAGTTAGACATATAAAGGCGTGTGAAGAGAAGATTCTTTTATTAAACTGATATAATAAAATTCTATTAAAATGCTGTTGTTTTCCTGATAGATTGAATATCCTGAAGTTGTTGATGTGTTGTTGGATTCAGAGGATTCCCCTCCAGGTTCAACTGCTCAATATTACCACAGCTTACAACAGCCTCAACATCAACATCTAGAACAGATTTATTATTATTATTATTAATATTATTAATGTTATTGTTATTGTTATTATTATTATTGTTATTATTATTATTATTACTATCAATGTTATCGTTATGATTAATATTATTATTAGTATTATTATTATTATTATTATTATTATTATCAGTATTGTTATCATTATTATTGTTATTATTGATAATCTCACTATTTTTTTTTGTTGACATAGTGTCTCGTTTGCTTTCTATACCCTTAAATTTAATTACTCTGTAAAAATTGGTTATAGCCGTCCTGGGGTCGGGCACTTCAACTGACCAGACACATAGATTCGGTTGCATCAATTATCAAGAAAGGGTCGACTTTGAAGTGTCGCCAAGCGTTTAGCTTTGATTTTACCGCTCTAACTAACTAAGCATTTTTCGTAGCCCTAAACCTGCACATTTAAAAACTATAAAAACTAAAAACTAAAAAAGTACTTGATTTTACCTAATGTCTTTTAGAAGCAAAATTCTCATTGATTTTTACGAAAGAGCTTGTAACCTTTCAATCACAGTGCAGAGTTTCCAGCATTTTACCTGCAATAAAGTTCTTGCCGGCATTGATCTTGGCGAGGCTGGGAATGTCAAGGAGAACGTGGGGGAGGATGACGAAGGAGTTTGAGGAGATGTTGATGATCTCCAGCTGGGAGCAGTTCACCATCTCCTGGGGTAGAGCTGAGATACGGTTGTTCGATAAATCAAGTTCTACAATTAAAATGAATTTACAATTGCATTGCATGTTAAAAATACATCTTTTGAAACTTGAAAGGGACGTTTACAGGAATTTTTCTAGTTAAGGCTCTACCTATTTAAACTTTTTTTTTTGTTTGGGGGGGGCAAATTTTTCTAGTTTCCACTTATTCCTCCAGGGGGGGGCTACCCCTGTCTTAATATTGTATTCATTGTATTCCCCATATCTACTTTCTATCTGTTTACTTCAACTATAGGACTTTTAGAACCCATTTAGTCTTTTAAGAAGCAGATAATATTCAACTTTAAGATTTATAAAAGCAAACAAATTTAGGTCAATATATATAAATTTAGATGAATCAAATATTTACTTTTTAAAAAGGCGTATTTTTGTAGTAATTGGAAATCCCCAAATGTTTGGCTAAAAGTAAAATGCGCAACGCAAGCGGAATTCCCCATAGGTTTTACATCGTAGGAAGTCAGGTGTTTTTGAGTAAGAAATATGGGGAATTCCCCCCCCCCCCC